ACCATGTAGCACTCTCCCTGCTCAACCAGCCCTGCAAAGCTGGCTGAGGAGGAAGTGAGAAGGGACACCCTGTGTTGCCCATTGCCCCAGACCTGCATTGGGCTCAGGAACATCCAGTGTTCTCCATGGCTCCAGGCCCAGGGGGCTGGGCAGAGGGGACGTGCTGTTTCCCCCATCAGGCAGCCCCATGGTGTGGACTGAGTGTAGAAGCACTTTGCCCCACAGGCGGGCTTGGGGCAGCAGAGAGATACAGCCCGACTTGTCCCCGCCATCAAGGGTGGGACAAAGGGCAATGTGCCTTTCACCCGAGGAAGCAAATCAGCTGCACTTTGACACATGGCTCCTCTCAGGGACATCTCTTTCAATTACCCAGAGACTCCCAACATTTTGAAACACTGAGGAAATTCCTGGAGAAAAACACTCTTAGAATTGGGAAATGCAAAACTCTAGAGCTCTTGGTTCAGAAAGTGATGGAAGAGACAAAGCTAACCTATTTAACAATTTCTTTGCCTCCATTTTTCTGATCAGGGACCAGGTCATCCCCTCCACCGGGATCCCCAATGGTCCCAGGGGAGGCGCAGCCAGGCCCAGGGTCAGTGAGGACCTAGTCAGGGAACTTCTAGAGGGAATGGACGTGTTCAAATCAGCAGGTCCTAATGATCTCCACCCGAGTGCTGAGCGAATTAGCAGAGGTCATTGCGGGACCCCTGGCACGGCTTAACGAGCACTCATGGTGCTCTGGCGAGGTGCCAGAGGACTGGAAAAGGGCCAATGTGGTCCCCATTTTCAAAAAAGGGAGTAAGGAGGACCCAGTCTTACCTCGGTCCTGGGGAAGCTCTTTGAGAAAATTATCCAGGTGCACATCTGTGAGGGGGAAGCAGGGGAGACTATGCTTAGGGGCAACCAACACAGGTTCATTAGAGGCAGGTCCTGTCAGACCAACCTGGTGGTCTTCTACAACCAGGTCACAAAATCCTTGGATGCAAGTGTCGCGGTGGACATAGTCTTCCTGGACTTTAGGAAGGCCTTCGACACCGTCTCTCACCCCATTCTCATTAAAAAATTAGGAGATTGTGGTGTGGATGCCTACACAGAAAGATGGGTCGCCAATTGGCTGGAGGGCCACACCCAGAGAGTGGTGGTGGATGGGTCATTTTCGACTTGGAGGGATGTGGGCAGTGGGGTCCCCCAGGGCTTGGTCCTCGGGCCCGCACTGTTCAACATCTTCATCAACGGCTTGGACGAGGGGGTGAAAAGCACCTTGTTCAAATTCACAGATGTCACTAACATGTGGGGAGAAGTGGGCACGCTAGAAAGGAGGAATAGGCTGCAATTGGATCTGGACAGGTTACAGGGGTGGGTGGATGAGAATAAGATGGGATTCAACACTGACAAGTGCAGGGTACTGCACCTGGGGAGGAAGAACCAGCAGCATACCTACAGGCTGGGGAACTCCCCTCTCCTCAGCACAGAGGCAGAAAATGATCTTGGAGTCATTATAGACTCCAAGATGAACATGGGCCGCCAATGTGGGAACACGGTCAGGAAGGCTAACCGCGGCTTGTCATGCATCCACAGATGCATCTCAAGCAGGTCCAGGGAGGTGATCCTCCCCCTCTATGCAACACTGGTCAGGCTGCAGCTGGAGTACTGTGTCCAGTCCTGGGCGCCGCACTTCAGGAGGGATGTGGACAACATGGAGAGGGTCCAGAGGAGGGCCACCCGCATGATCAGGGGGCAGCAGGGTAGGTCCTACGAGGAGAGGCTACGGGACCTGAACCTGAGAGGGGATCTGGTGGCTGTCTATAAACTGGCCAAGGGGGACCAGCAGGCAATGGAAGAGTCCCTGTTCCCCTGAGTGCTACCGGGAGTAACGGCCTTAAGTTGATGGAGAGTAGATTTAGGCTGGATATCAGGAGGCGCTACTTCACTGTCAGGGCGGCTGGGATCTGGAACCAACTTCCATGGGAAGTGGTGCTCGCTCCTACCCTGGGGGTCTTCAAAAGGAGGCTGGATAATCACCTCTTGGGGGGTCACTTGGCCCCAGCATGCTTTCTTGCCAAGGCAGGGGGTCGGACTTGATGATCTGCTCAGGTCCCTTCCGACTCTACCAACTATGAAACTATGATCCCTTTTATTAAATCAACTAAGAAACTGAAAAACCCCCCCCATCTTTTTCTGCAAGGTATCATCTCTGAACCACGAGGTCTGGAGTTTTGCTTTTCTTTTTGTCTCAGACGGACACAGCTACTAAATCCATCCCTTAACGTTGGGAGCACGTAGCGGTAATGAGGAACTGCACGGACCCTGAATCTCATGCCTCGTGCGGCGGAGATCCCTTCCGAGGGGGAGAGGGCGCGCCCCCCGTGGGTCTCGAGGTGCTCCGGACAAGGAGGAAACCCGCGTGGGTCAGAAGTAACCAGAAACTCCCATTCCCCGCGCCCGCACGGCCCTGCCCCGCCCCTTTCCCATAGCCACGCCAATCAGCGCCCCTCTCCTTCCTGGCCACGCCCACCCCTCATGGCGGCCCCCCCTGCCGCTCAGGCTGGAACCGCCCCCCTCCCCAGTGGGAGAGTAGGTGAGGGCATTGGCTTCGGATGTTGCCAGCACGCATGCGCGGCGCTCGGAGCATGCGCAGCTCTGCGCCCGCGGGGGTGGGAGGCGGCCCGCCAGCGGGAGCTGGGCAGGGGCGGGCTGCGGCCCGCGGGCCCCCCGGGCGGCGGCTGCATCAGCCAGGGGCAGAGCTACGACACCGACCGCGGCCGCGTCTTCGTGAAGAGCAACTCGAAGGCGGAGGTGCGCGGGGCTGGGCTCGGCCTCCAGGCTCTGCCGCGCCGGGCTCGCTGCGCGGGAAGCGGCCGGGCCGCGCGATGCGCTGGAGGGGCAGGACCCGCGCTCTGCGGTGCGGGGGCATTAATGGGTCAGTGGGGCGGGCAGGTGGCTGCACCCCATGAGACCCCTGTCGATATGAGCCGGCGCTTGCAGACTGCAGCCAGAGCCGTCCGGACATCCCCTGGGCCGGCAGGTGAGGGGCGCTGTCAGGTATCGTCACCCCCTGCAGGGGTCTGGAGCAGGCTAGGAAAGATAGAGCGGCGCCTTCCTTCTTCCAGGCACATGTCAGTCACCAGCTGCCTGCACTGAAAGGAAACGTCCTCAGAGTTTTCTGTGCTTGCTTCGACTTTCTGTGCCATCATCTTCAGCCCCGGGCACGAACCACTGTGGGAGGCGTGGCACTGCTAAGCGGGACGTCTGGGTAACGCTGCGGCCCTTTTGGCAGTGGGGAAAGGCAGAGGAAGGCAGAGGAAGATATTCGAAGAGTATGTTTGATTTGGGCCCTGGCTGAGGAAAGAGAGATTCATGGTTGGTGATATGAGCAGCAGGGTAACAATGTCATTCCAGCGAACAAAACTCTGGCTTGCATCTACTGATGCATCTCGAGCAAGACCCAGGAAGTCCCCCTCCCACTGTACTCGGCCTTGGTGAGGCCGCAGCTGGAGTACTGCATCCAGTTCTGGACACCACAGTTTAGGAAGGATGTGGAGAAGTTTGAGAGAGTCCAGAGAGCCACGTGCATGGTCAGAGGGCAAGAGAATAGGTCTTATGAAGAGAAGCTGCGAGCTATGGGACTCTTCAGCCTGGAAAAGCGCAGGCTCAGGGGTGATGTTGGCATCCTATAAGTACATCAGGGATATGCATCAGGATGTAGGGGAACATCTGTTCACCAGAGCACCCCAGGGGATGACAAGGTCTAATGGTCACAAACTACTACAAAATCGTTTTAGGCTGGACATAAGGAGAAACTTTACTGTCCGAGCCCCCAAGGCCTGGAACAGACTCCCCCAGAGGTGGTGCAGGCACCTACTCTGGACTCTTTCAAGAAACATTTGAACGTTTATCGTGTTGGGATCCTTTGACCCCAGCTGACTTCCTGCCCCTTGGGCAGGGGGCTGGACCCAATGATCTTCAGAGGTCCCTTCCAGCCCTAATGTCTATGAAACCTATGAAACCTAAATGTGTTGAGGTCCTCCAGGAAAGGTATTGAAAGAGCTGTTTGCTTTGCAGTCAATCTAGTAGTTTTATAGGGAACAATCTAGGACCTCCCTGTCATGTCATGTTGCTGTCGTCCCCCCACCCTGTTAATACATATATAGATGTATAATTGGCAGGCAATTCTTCCAGCACACTTGGCTGGGAGAAAGATGTATTGAGTAAATATCAAGGACCTGGATAAATTTCCTATTCAGTAGTCGTTGTTTTGTGAATTTACCATGCATCTATAGACACAGAGTGCTGATGAAAGCAGCCTTCATTAATTTCATTAAAAATGCTGTGCTGTGTGCACAGCAGTTGACTACATCAGCAGTTCCCTTATAAGCCTGTTTTCAGCTATTGTCTACAGCAATATTTTGGAAGGAGCTATGTTTTGGAAAGAGAAATCATTTTATTTCTAAAGCAAAATTTCAGACTCATTAATAGTCTAGAAATTCTGCATTCTTGCTCTCCTTCACTCAGGGAGTTTGTAATCAACATCACCTGTGGCTTATTTGATGATTCTCATTCCTGTATTTGTATCCAAAGTAATCTTTTGATATTTTATTCATTTGGTTTTGTTAGGGCTTTTAGCAAATACTGTTGGTTATGGGCTGCCTTTTGCACACTTTCCGCTTTAAATACTATTTACTCACACAGCTAGTCCATTGGAATCAATGGAGCAGCTCAGATGAATAAGTTCTAAACATAAATGATGATTGCAGAGCTGGCCCCTGCATTCTCATTTAAAAGAACATCCCAGGTTACAAGTTAGGCGCAATGTAATTATTTGTATTCTCTGCAGAAACATCAATTCAAGGCATAGCAACAGCTAATTCAGTATTTCTAGGTGGAACTGTATGTGCAAAGCCACATAAATTATCAGTACCCAGCACACACTTTCATTTTTTCCTGACATACATTGCAACTCATTTGACACTTATTCCTATATATCGGGGTGCCAGATTCACCTGCGGTTTTATTTTGGATCCAGACTGTGGGGTTCCTTGCAAGTCAAATCCAACCTGGGGCATGAGGACTACAGCAGTGGCCACCACAGCGGTGACAGACTCATGGGGTCCAGTGGGAGCAAGGGTAGTGCAGATTGCAGCGGTAGGGAAGCCAAGCTCACTACCAATGGCCATGTCCATCGGGGTAAAGGGCCCAACATTTGGTGCCTCTAGTAGTTCAGTAGACTGGAGAGACAGGCTCTGTGGGCTGAACGTGGCACACAAGCCACATGTTTGGCATCCCTGCTGTATATCACGTTCATTTGGAATTTTTGATCAGTAAGCATATGTATAAAATGAATGGAAACAAGCCAGGCTTTTATACAAACCAGGCTTTGATTCAGTTGTTGAGTTATTTATTTGACCACACAAAATGCTGGAAGATGTGCTGTTTCATTAGGGGTAGGCATATAGGAAAGAAACCGATTCTCCTGTTATTCTTAAGTCTGTAGGTTACCATACCATAAGCAACCCAACTGCGGACCCTCCTTTGTCTTGTATATGCTTGCACCAAAAAAAGACTCAGATGTGGTTTGCCTGGAGGAACGTCTTCATTTTGTTGCTAACAGTGTTCCTGGGGACTAATCCTGTTCTTTTGTGTTTAACAGGCTAGACGAATGTTTGAGGGAGAAATGGCAAGTTTAGAAGCCCTCCTGAAAACCCAGACAATAAAGGTCCCCAAACCCATCAAAGTTATAGACTTGCCAGGGGGCACCACACTGTTTGTGATGGAGCACTTGGAAATGAAGGGTTTAAACAGGTAAATTTTGACAGTGTCATGTTGTCAGGCATTCAGATTTGTGTGATCTTCATGTTATTTGTTTTTGAGGAGAAATACATTTTGATGCTTCCCTTCTTGTCTCCAACCCATTAAAAACTGTAACACTGAATACAGCGTTCTGTTGTGTTTCACAGCACTTAACCCAGCAATTCATTCCTCAGCTAAGAAAAATGAAGGTATTGACAGCAAGGATCTTGAGAGTTGGTGGTGAGAGTGACTCAGACGAGATGATTTAGTACAGGGTTTGTTAGTGTTTTGCAGTGGGAGGCCACTTTAATGAGGCTTTGCTCCAAGCACAAGCCACTTTCAACCTAGCTTGCGCTGGAGCCAGAGCATCAGTCACCACTCCCACTGCAGTGCCACCACTGCCTGTTCTCCCCATCACCATGGTGCCCGAAGTCCACTACCACCAGATTGGATCTAGCTTGCAGACTACAGGTTGCCAACCCCTGATCTCCTAGGTTGCATCTTTGAGGACTTACAGCATTCCTATTTAAATATTTCTTACAATTCAATAGGGGTATGCGTGAAACTTCCCAAAACAGGCATGAAGGCATTCATGTTGTGAATATTGGTAGCTTAACATCTATGGTCCTTGCTTTATGTCCCCTCCCCCGCACCCAAGACCCAGGGTAAAACCACTGTGTCGAAGGCTGATCCGTGCTTCCATCAGGGAATTCAGTTTACTTTTTTCCCACACCAACCTCTGGGCCTCTAGCCAGCTCAGGGAGCCCATCAAGCAGGCAGCTGCATAATTGTTATGTAGCCTCTGCCTGCATTACCCTTCTGCTCTGAGCAGTGCTAGAACCAGGATGCATGTCCCCTTAGCTTGCTCACCTGCTGATCCCTGTATTCTTTGAGAGCTGTCAGCACAGGAAAAGTAGGCAAGTGACACTTAACACGCTGATCTTGGGAGACAATTAGGCTCCATAATAGCAGAAACATCTGGAAAAGGTTAACTTAAAGATGGACTGAAGCAAGTGCAGAAGGTGCTAGAGGATTGGTATCAACCTTTGGAGAATGAGAACAGTCTTGCTTCAGTATTCTGGGTTTCCTGATGTTGAGAGAGCCAGGTGAATCTTACTTATCTCTTCCTCTAGAGCATAATCAAATGTATAAAAGCTGTATTGTGCATGTTCTTCCTACAGTTTATGGTGATGAAGTTGTGGTTTCTCTTCATTTTCATTTCAGTTCATGGTAATACTGGCAGAAATAGCCACATAAGTGCAGTTTTCAGTATCTTATGCTTTACCCCCTGCCCACCCCATCCCACCACCCCCCAAAAATGTTTAAAAAGATGTCTCTGTTCCCAGAGAAGGGAGTTTTCCACATGCTTGGCAAACACAGAGAGTTACTCATGTATATCAGGCTGTGAATTCACTGCTTACTGTGTCTTTCAGTGATAATAAAAGAACTTATTTTGGCTTTTTAGACATTCAGGAAAGCTTGGACAACAGTTGGCTGACCTACATCTTCACAACCAGAAAATTGGAGAGAGGCTGAAGAAAGAGGGGAACACAGTTGGTACAGTAAACAGCTGTCGGTGAATTTAGTGACATTAATCTAGTTAATAATAATCTGCAAAACAGGCAGTTGCTAAAATGACTTTGTTATTTTAGGGAACATCTGTTTTGCTCCAGTAGCACACATGAAAACAGATTTAGAACAAATTGCTTTTTGTGTTATAATTAAAAGTGGTTTGGGGCTATATTTAAATAGTTCTCTCTCTAATGGACAAAATATTTCTTTGATTTGGGATCCCTGCTTTTCATCTCACTGCACCATTGTGCACAACAGCCTTGTTTCAGAGGAGGTATAACACTAGCTTAAATAATTAAGTTTAACACTTGCATATTTTTGTCATATTTTTAATTCAATGGAAATCATAGTAAAAAGAGTACTGAGGTGCAAAATGTCTGTTATCAATAATGGAAATTACTATATCTTCATCTGATTTAAGGCCCACCTGCATTGCAGATACTAAATCTTTATAATTAGTGTTTTTTTCTGTGGTTTTGTGTTTGAAAGGTAAGAGTCAAGGGGAAACAGATGTCCAATTTGTGGATCAGTTTGGCTTTAATACAGTCACCTGTTGTGGTTATCTCCCCCAGGTAGGTTTTGTTTAGTCTCTGAATTTATTTAACCCATTGGTACCTGCTGCCACCGTACATTCTTGGGGGATTTATGTGTGTCACTTAAAGATTCTGCACCTCATTTTCTTAATGCTAAAAAAGGAAATGCTGGGATAGTGTAAGATATTGTTTTGTTTAGGAAAACAGAAATGGCCAAAATTAACATCAGTGAAGGTATACCAGGAATTAATTTGGCCCCGAATGTTAGGACATTTATCTGGTCTTGGAAGTTATTAACTGAGACTGTATTCAAAAACTTTTTTTTTTAACTTGGTATTCTCTCTTGTGTTATGGAACCTGTGCTTGATCTTATCCTCCAGGTGAATGACTGGCAGAATGATTGGGTGACTTTCTTTGCCACTCAGCGAATCCAGCCCCAAATGGATATGATTGAAAAGAATTCAGGAGACAGGGAAGCGAGGGAACTTTGGGCACAACTTCAGGTAAGATTACTTCATGTGTTTTAATGTATTGATGGGTAGATGGGGGTTGGTTTTTTTCTATTCCTTTTCTTTTATTAAAATATATTAGTTCCTGCCTTCTATTGCAATGTTCCACGGTTTGTTAGAAAAGGATGCTAACTTCAAGTGATTAAAGAACCCCCACACTGAGGTACAGTGACTTCATGCAATATCAACCAGTTCTAACTTTCTAAAATGAATGGATGCAGGGTAGCACTGTGCATTGCCACTAGGGAAGTGCTGGGTTAAGTTCACACGTGCATCTCCCTGGACTTGGAAGTGTTATGCTTATTGGAACTTATATAAGGCAGAGGCAGGCAAAATATGGTCTGTGGCCTGCATCCAGCCCACCAGGCACTTTGATCTGGCCTGCGGCACCCCCCAGTGAATTGTACCCCACCCAGCCCTTCTGCCCACAAGGGTGGGAGCGAGGTGCCTACACCTGCCCCCAACATATTCTATTATGCCTTGCTTCCACCCTTATGGGCGGAAGGGCTGGCCCCGCTAGCATGTGGAAGGTTGCTGCTGCAGGCTTCCCCGGCATCCTGCTCCTTCCAAGCAGTAGGTAAAGGAGATGGGGGTGGTGCTGCAGCTCGGTGGGAGCACAGAGCGTGGAGCTGGGGCTGGGAGCAGCGTGGAGCCCTCGCCCAGTGGGGTGGCAGCAGCATGGAGCTTAGCTGGGCAGGGTGTGGGTGTGAGTGGGGAGAGGTATAGGGGCCCCCCCAACACACTACTCCGTATGGCACACAGCCCTGGCAGGCAGCAGGGGGCAGCAGCAGTAGTGGGGGGGCACTCTGCTTGGCGCTGTTGTCTGGCTCCTGGCTCTGGCTAGTGCTGCGAGGAGCACAGCCCCCGCTGGGCTGTTTGTTTCCCTGGCACTTCCCACACTCGTGGGGCACAGGAGGGAAGCCTCAGGCACTGGAGTGAGCTGGGATGGGGAAAGTGGTACCTGGGGCTTCCCTCCTGTGCCCCATGAGTGCGGGGAGTACCAGGGAAACAAACGGCCTGGCAGTGGCTACGCTTCGCGCCCCCACTCGCTGCTGCGCCATGAAGGAAATGTGTGTGTGGCGGGGGGGTGGGATGTCCCCACATCCTTGCCACCTTCCCTCACACCCTACAAACCACACACACACCCCATCCCCTGCAAGTGTTGTCTGCATTGACTGCAGGAGAGGACCGTGTTCCAGAGGCCAGTATGTTCCAGAGCCACACACCCACACAGCCATGACCCCTCACAAACTCCCCCCATACCCCACCATACACAACCCTCCCCCCCCACACACAGTATAAAAGACTAAGAATTTATTTTTGAGTTACTATGCAGTCACCTCAATATACAGTACATAAACACAAATCATGACAAAAATATTTTTTGTAATGGAATTAGAATATGTTATAGTAGGTGTTTGACTTTTAGTGTGTGATCTGTTTTTTTTCTGGTTCTAAGATGGCAACCCCTCCCCCCAAAGGAGTATTTCCAGGGGGAAAGGAGAGGGACTTCTGGTGGCAAAGGTCAGGGGTCGGGGTGGGATTTCCAGTCCCAAGATAGCACCCAGGGGGCAGGGCACCTGTCAAGGGGCAGGGCTACCCACGCAGCCCTCGACAGCTCACCAAGCCTCCTTAAGCAGCCCACCACCTGAAATAATTGCCCACCTTTGGTATAAGGGAACACATTGAGTTGTTCAGTAGCACTACCCCTTTACATAATATTTGTGTCTTCACTGAATCGATTCATTTTTAGCTACCTACTCTGTGGATCTCTACTTA